AGTGAAATAGACTTCTTGTGGAACCTTTGTAGTATATAGGAACTTAGGTGGAATTATGACCTGCATCCAGAACCTTCTAAGGTGGAACATTCCCACTGGACAGGACAAGCAGCCAGTCTGGAGCAGCTGGAGAAACAGAAGATATTTCTTGAAAGAAAGACCAAGAGGAAAAATCAAAAACAAAAATGGCAGTCTAATTGGGTACTAAAGGAAGAAGCAGGTTGTTCACCGGGAAGCCATCAAGGCAAGCAGTCAAGTCCCTTCAGGACAAACCCCCCTTCAAGATTGGAACTCATTGGGAACACACAAGCAGGCACATAAGCTTACTGGTGACCACATTGGTCTACTGGTGAGTGGAAATGGGGGAAAGGCTACAATGAAGATATGGGCTGATTTGACCACATCCCACAGACTTCCATCAACCTGGAGATGAACGAGAGAAGAGGAAGGGCCAATTGATTTGAAGTGGTGAAATCTGGTGTCTCCCATGGACAAGATCATAACCACGGCAGGCTGGAGCTGAGAGTAAAGCATCCAGCTGATATGAAATAAGCGAGATGCACAAGAATGTCCAAACTTGCAGATAGTACCCATTTGACCTAACTTCAATGGTTTGATGATCTGAACTCGACAAAAGGAAGATTGGAAAAATTGGTAAAGGAAGCAAATGTATATTGCTACAATTTGATGAACTTGACCTATACTTATGGATATTGTAACTCAAAATACCAACTGAGAGGGAAGAAGTCTTCAAATCAAAGATCAATCCTATCCCCTCTATACACAGAGTTGATAGGGACAGGCACCTTAGACATTAGCTACCTAAAATGAGGGCTTTAAAGGCACAGCTCACAAGCCACCACTCGTCTGTCAGTTTATTGTACTATAGTGGCTTGTGAGTTGCTGTGATTCTGGAAGCAATGACACTGATATTTTAAATACCAGCAGGGTCTCCCATGGTGGACAAGTTTCAGATGAGCTTCCAGACAGACAATGAAAAAGGAGTGACAACTACTTCTGAATATTTAGTCATGGAAAACCTTATGAATATCAGAGAAACTCTGTCCGATATAGTGCCAGAAAATGAGCCCCTCAGGTTGGAAGTCACTCAAAATGCAACTGGGGTATAGCTGCCTTCTCAAAGTAGAGTTGACCGTGCTGACACAACTGGAGTAAAGCCCATGGGAGTAAAGCCCTCGGACCTTCATTTGCTGGTGGGGCATAACTCAAAATGAAGAGAAACTGCTGTTGTTACTGTTGTTAGGTGCCATGAAGTTGGTACTGACTCATAAGGACCTTATGCACAGCTGAACGAAACACTGCCCGCTCCTGGGTCAACCTCACTACTGTTGCCATGCTTGAACCCATCAATGCTGCCACATGGCCAATCCATGTCATTGCAGTTCTTCCTCTTTTTCTCTGAGCCTCCACCTTATCAAACATGATGTCCTTTTCCAGCGACTAGTCCCACCTGACAATATTTCTAAAGTATGAGAGATGAAGTTTGGCTATTTTGGCCTCCAAGGAACATTCTGGCTGTACTTCTTCCAAAACGGATCTATTGGTTCTTTTGGCAGCCCATGGCACTTTCAATATTCTCCTCCAACACCATAACACCATAAATGCATCAATTCTTGTACGGTCTTCCTTATTCACTGTCCAGCTTTCGCATGCATATAAGATTATTGAAAATACCATGGCTTAGATCAGGTGCACCATAGTCCTCAAGCTGACATCTTTGCTCTTCAACACTTTCAAAAGTTCTTGTGCAGCATATTTGCCTAATGCAATACGTCATTGGATTTCTTAACTGCTGCTTCCGTGAGTGTTGGTAGTTGATCCAAGAAGAATGAAGTCCTTGACTACTTCAATCTTTTCTCTATTGATAAGAATGTTGTTTATTGGTAGAGTGGTGAAGATATTTGTTTTCATTACATTGAGATGTAATCCATACCGAAGGCTGTGCTCTTTGATCTTCATCAGTAAAGAAGATGAAGTAAAAGTCCTCTTCACTTTTAGCAAGCAAGGTTGTATCATCTGCATATTTCAGGTTGCTAATGAGTCTTCCTCCAATCCTGATGCCATGTTTTTCTTCATAAAACTCAGATTCTC